AAAAAAATGATTTCTTATGTTTTTAATTTAATTTTTTGTTTGTTTTAGGGTCTCCATTGCCACCTGATGCAAATTTTACGGAAGAGGAGCTCTCAATACTAGATGATGTTGATTTGAATGACAGCAAGGATGTATTGCAAAATATTCCTTCTAACACTTCCATTCCCGGATGATATTCCTTGCTCGTCGCCTTGGTTATTAAATGGAGATCGATCGCCATCAGTAATAGAAAACACACCGGGCAATTCGCCAATCCAGAGTAACTTTATTATTGAAAATTATTGTGATATCACTCCAGTACCGTCGCCGTATAATTCTTTTGCCCCATCACCTGTTAATTTTGAGTTATTTGACAGACCTGCAGTCGCCACCCCTGCATCTGACATTAATGATATCACATACTCACCGTGCAATAATGACAAACGTCGTCGTAAGCGGATTTCCATAGCTAAAAAAGATAAAGGAAGGCTAAGAGAACGTTTTCAGAAAAAATGGAAAGATCAAGAGCGGAAATATAATGTTAATAGAGGTTTGGAATATGTCAGTAGAAACGGAAGAGTGCATGGTAAGAGAAATATGAAAACTTCTTGCCCCATTACTTGTCGGAAAAAATGCAGTGAGAAATTAACAGAAGATATTCGGCAAAGAATTTTTGATATGTTTTGGAGTATTGGAGACCACTCAAGACAATGGGATTTTCTGGCAAGGTATGCTATAAGAGCTGAAAAAAAAAGAATTACTGTGGATAAAGAAAATTCAAAACGTCTTCATACTATTTCTTATTATCTTCCAAGCAGTCAAGGAGATAATATTGAAACTACAAAAATACCGGTTTGCAAAACCATGTTCTTGAGAACCCTTTCTATCAGATTTAATTTCGTTTATACAGCTTTAGAAAAGTCCGATAAAGGAAATGGATTTATTGAAACAGATCAGCGTGGTAGACATATTAATCATCCAAAGATTATCAATGAAGATATCGTTCGTAGTGTTATATACACTACACTCGCCAAAAATCAAGTAAAAAATATCTTGAGGCCTCTTTATCCTTCCCAAAAATGTTCAAGTTATATAACGAATGGTTTGATTCTAATAAATACTCTTCAAAAGCGACTACGGTGAGACAATACCGAGATATCATTAATAAAAATATCAATATTGGTTTTCATAAACCCAAAAAAGATGTTTGTGAACAATGCCACATTTACGAAAATAACAAGGAAGTTACACAGACAGATAAAGAGAAGCATGAAGAGCATTTAAAAGAAAAAGATAAAGCTAGGAAAATGAAAACACAAGATAAAGATTCAGCGTTACAAAATCATGAAATCCTTACAGCAGCATTTGATCTTCAAAAGTGCCTTAATGTACCTCACGGGAACGTTAGTACTTTTTATTATAAACGGAAACTTTCTTTATATAATTTCACAATATTCAATCTGGGATCTCGTCAGGGTTATTAGTACGAGAGCCCACGACCAAAACCATGTCTCATAGCAATACGGCAAAAACCCTATAAAATTGTTAGATTGTATGATTCTGAACGCGACTACGCGTGTAGAAAGTGTAAAATTTTTTTTTTTAATTTTATGATTTAAAAAAAAAAATTCAATTTAAAAAAATTTTTTTTTACTTTTCTCGACATTTCAGATAAAACTGTGTCGATTCCCGTAATAAAAGTTTTTTGTACGCCCTTATGGCATCCGATGTCGGCTCTGGATGCCATAAGGGCGTATCAGAAAAATTTTTTTTTGGCGATCGTCCTAGTTTTGGATAAAACGTCGAGATCTGCAATAAAAAAATTTATACCCCTCATGGTTCCCGGATTCCATAAGGGCGTAAAATATGCTTATACGCCCTTATGGCATCTGTAACGCGGTATTAAATTAAACATCCCAATTTCGAATTTGTCATATTACAGTGAAGAACCTGAAGGTGATCGAGGAGCGGACGAGAGTACGACAGCAGACGACAGTGCGTTAGCGGACGACAGCACGGTTGCTGTCGGCAATAGGATACCTGATGACAGTGCGGTAACTGATGTTGCTGATAATACGGCAACTGTTGATTCGACTGCCGATGCAAATTCATACAGCTGTATTATTTGCGGTAAATACAGGATGTATGTGATAAGACGCGCGGTATGTCTGATAAAAGCGACCAACACTTTCATCGAATTTATGAAGGCCGTGTCCACTGAGTACAACAACATCGAGATGCTGCGTACAATAGAAACTCTCAAAGATGACAACTGCTTCTATCACAAACATTGCAAAACAAAGTTTGAATGGCACTGTAAGAATAATCTCGAGACAAAAAACGAAAAAACTTGGCACAAAAAACGACAATGTCATACTGACGCGTACGACAAAATTTACAGACTTATTCGCGAACGCGTTGTTGAGAACAATGAATGTCTCTTCTATAATTTCATCTCAGAAAAGTACATCGAGTTCCTGCACGAACAGTTTGACAACGTCTCCAACGTCGAAAAACCGGATTTTTTTTCGTCGCGTCATTTGGTAAAGAAGTTATTGGTAACGTTCAACACTGAAATCAAAATAATTTTCTCGGACAACAAAAAGTATATCGCTCCATACGCTGGTCACATCGTCAGCAATCAAGAATTCTTCAAAAACATCGAAACGAGACAAGCGATATACAACATCGGGCAGATAATAAGACGAGAGATAATTAACATGGACAAGACAAAATTACCGGAGGATATAACGGTGCAGGAGCTCATCCGAGGTGAATGCGATTCTGTGCCACCGTTGCTATCATATCTCTTGCAGTGCATCATTTGCGGTGATAGTAAAGGCGTAAGTCAATCTCGGCATGAATTGAAGAAATCCTCGCGCGATTTAAAAATGTTTTCCCTCGGTCAGGACATTATTTATGCAGCTACGAACGGCAATATTAAAACCTCAAAACATGTCACTCTGGGAATGGCGTTAAAGAGTCTCTCGAGCAGCAGGAAAATTATCGACCTTGTTAACAAATACGGTCACTGCTGTAGCTACAATGTCATCGAAGAGCTAGAGACTGAGCTGACATTCACATCAACGCAACAGAACAAATTATGTCCCGAAGACATAATTCTCGCCGATAATTTGTGTACTGGAGTCGCGTTCGATAACTTCGATTGGTTCGTCGATACTCTCACTGGTAAAGACACTCTCCACGACACTGTCGGGATAATTTATCAAAATGTACCCAGTGACGCAAATTTTACTGCTCCAACCGACGCTTCTGTACAAGGTGATGATACTGCAGCTGCTTCTACAGATGAAACGCCGCGACGTCGAAAAAGAAGAAGATGTTTCGACGCTATCGTCAACGAAATCGTGCCGTACACGAAAAAACCAAAAATCGATTCCTACTTCTCAACTGCCTGTATCGGCCAAATCTCAATCAAACCTGAAGTTTTTCAGACGTGGAGGAACTTTGATATTGCTTGGCTTTTTTCACACACACTGGACGTTCCCGATACGCCTATGTGGACTGGGTTTAATAGCCTCATAACTGAAGACACCTCTGCTTTGCAGAAAGTATCGTATTTGACGCAATTGAATGCATCTCCTACAGATAATTCCGTTGTACACCTCACTTTGGAAATGGCTCAACAAGTAGCTGAAGAATGCAGTTCGGAATACATGCAAGTAACGTACGATTTAGCAATTGCAAGAATTGCATTCGGAATTTAGTTTCAGGAAGCGCCGAAATTCGACAACGTTTTCATACATCTCGGCGGATTTCACATAATGATGTCGTACTTCAAAGTTATCGGCTCTTTTATTGAGGATTGTGGTATCACCAATATTCTGGTGGACAGTGAAATTTTGGCGAATGGTTCATTGAAGGGTTTCATTTCAGGTACAAATTTCAATCGATGCAAAAGACTACATCCCCTTGTGTCGCTCGCGTTTCAAAAACTGCATTTCAATACCTTCGTCGACCGTGAAAAAATTGTCATCGAGAAATCAATTGAAGATTATTTGTTTCAATTACAAAAGCAACGTTTAACGACGCCTACAATAGAACACGAAGCAACTCTCGAACTGTTCGAGAAGTATGACAACTTTACCGAACAAACATTGCAAGGAAAGCATGGACTAACTGCTCAGTTTTACGCCGTTTACATCCGATTAGTGTCCTATTATGACATGCTGAACAAGAGTATCAGAACCGGAAATCTTAAAATGTATGTTTACATTCTTGCAAAAATCACAAACTTTTTCTTCGCGTTCAATCACCAAAATTATTCTCGTTGGCTGGTATATTATGTCAGCAAGCTGTGCAAGATCGACGAAACCCATCTCGGACTGCGTTTCTCATTAGAACAAGGATCATTCGGAGTACGAAGAACGGAGAAATCTTTTTCCAGAATACCTGTTGACCTGACTTTGGAACAAACAATAAACGGCGAAGCAGCTCGGAAGCTAATCGGAATAATTCACATGACAAATTCGGTGGCTGCAAGGTAACGTTGGGCAATAAATCACAGTGCTCGAGCTCGAATAATATCACATGTGCATGTGAAAACCGCTGGAATCGCCAAGAATCAGGATATCACCTCGGAACTGAAGAGTTCTCGCATTCGAAAGAGTCACCAGCAAGTTGAGAAATTCATAAGGACTTTACAACAATACATGAATCCTTTCGACAGTTCGTTAGATGCTGATAAGTTGTACAACATCACAACTGGAGAAGCTGCTGAACAAAATACCACTGACTTTCTGCTCAACGTCGAATCTCGAGGAGAAACTTTGCGCAATAATTTTATAACCGAGGTAGAGGAGAGACATGCACGTTTTCAAGAACCACTAAAAAAGAATCCAGTCTTCACATTCAGCACGGTAAAGAAAAAGAAAAAAGTTGTACTCGGTGGCAAGGTTCAAGAATTGAGGCTACAAAGAGACTTATTTGGGCAGCTTTTAGCTTTGTCCTTATAAAAAAAAATAAGTATCGAAAAAGTGTTGTGTTACCCTATAACCCCAATGCCGCTATCACTTTGTCACATGGACGGTACAATAAACAAAACCGACAAATCTGCATTGATGCGAGACCTTGAAAAAAAAATCGAGAGCACGGAGCCAGAGTCTACAGATGTTTTGATTATCGATGGGTTCTTTTTACTGCACACCTTGAAAGACATACCACGAACATTTGGAGGTATGTCGAAAAAAATTTTGCACATTTTATGCAAATATAATGTTGAGAGGATCGATCTGATATTCGACAGGTATTTCAGCCCGTCGATCAAGGACACGGAGCATGGATTGCGAGAAAACGTAAAATCGACCGATTTTCGAATCTCAGGACCGCAACAAGTTCGACCTTCCGATTTCGCTAAAGAATTGAAAAACATCAAATTCAAAGATGCTCTGGTCAAATTTATTATCAACAATTTGTCAGAACAAGACATGGCACACATAATCGCAAACAAAATCATCAACATCAATCACGACATGTGTTATGAATATTCGGTGAAAGATGGTTTAGTTATCCAAACAATCAACGAAGATTTAACTTGCCAAGAACACGAAGAGGCAGATACGAAGATCGTTTACCATGTCTGCCAAATGAAACAACGGGGTCAAGTAACGATTCGATGTTCAGACACTGATATATTAATAATAATGCTCGGAAATATGGAATTTGTAGAAAGTGGTGTCCAAATTTCTATGGATGTTGGTGTTGGCAATTCCCGGCGTTACATTGATGTTTCACGTTTATACGAGATATTGGGATCCACTCTGGCAAAATCTTTACCTGCTTTCCACGCAATGACCGGCTGCGATTATAATCCCGCGTTATATCGCAAGGGTAAAAAAAGACCATTGACGATGCTGAAAAATTCGAAACGCTATCAAGAAGCTTTCGGTGATTTGAGCAGCTATACTTCTGATAGTGACAAGTCAAGTCAAAGTCAAAATTATTTATTTCAATTAGACCCATACAGGCACTTTTGAACGTCAACACAACTTTAAAGATACAAAGTGTCAGTCTGTCGGTCAGTCCTCTTAGTGAAGCTATTCGCTCGTTCCAAAGTGTAGATTCCGATGGAGAAGAACGAGCAAGAAACTCCATAGTTACTCTTTTAAAATCAGTGTCACATAAACATTCTTTGATACATTATTTAGTTAGTTTGAATATGTGAGAACAGTGTAACGAGGTATTCCCCGTTTTGGAAGAATTCACGTACAGATTGTACAACGAAAAAAAAATTAATAACGTCGATTTAGCTCGACTCAACATTTTTTCGAAGACATATAAAATTAAAAACGCCGAGGCTTCGACAACTCTGAATCTCCAGTTATCCAATTACGACGCCTGCAATCTATCACCATGCAAAACGGAATTGGAGAAAGAGAGGCGCTTATTAAGGTAGCATTCGGATCCACGCGACCGCGACACGAGACCGCGACCCGCGACCGCGACGGGCGACCGCGACCCACTGCTTTATATGAATTAATAGGAAGTGCTGACGGATGCAAGCGACCGAGTCGCGCGACGTGTGGGCGTGGCCTGCCGGCGACTTGCGTCGCGCGACTCGGTCGCTCACAAGGCAGTGCCGTGGCGCGACAGATGCAAAATGGCCGTGTTTTCTTCGCACGAAGACGAGATTTTAATAGAATTAGTTAGTAAAAACGCACCTTTATTCGATACGAGGCTTCAAGCTTATAAAGATAATACGGTGAGGGACAATATTTGGGAAGAAATTGGAAAATTGATGAATAAAACAAGTAAGTTCAAATGATACATATTTTTCTCTATTTTTTGAGGTTATAAAACTGTTCTGGGATTACTTCCATGGGACGCTATTCTATTCTATCTATACGATTTTCCTGCCATGATACTTGGCCAACTGGACTTAAAAAAAATGATTTCAATGAATTTCGTATATCAAATGCCGCCAGACTTCCAAAACCACCAACTCTTGAGAATGGTATCATGTTTTCCGTAGGTGGGGGGATTTTTGGATCATATTTGTAATAAGGAATGCCGTTTTTTTCTAAATAAGCATCCCGCAAAAGATTATGTAAACAGCACGCGGTCAAAATCAAGTCATCAACAACCTCTGGTCTGATTGATATCGGTGTGTAAAATATTCTAAATACTTGTGATAACAATGCAAACGAGTTTTCTGTCACTCTTCTGGCACGGCAAAGTCTATAATTGAAGATAGCTTTATCACGATTCGCTCTCGCATCATTTCTACAATATGGCTTCATCATATATGTATCAAGGGCAAACGCTTCATCACCGACCAGAAAGTGTGGAAGCATAATATCTGTTCCTGGTAAATTTGCGGGCTTCGGAGCATTAAACTTATTACGAGCAATTTTTTTCCCTATGCATGACTTTTGAAAAATACCACTGTCTCCTTCTTTACCATAAGAACCCACGTCAACAGCAATGAATTTGTAGTTGGCATCTACAATCGCCAGAAGTACGATCGAATAATACTCCTTGTAGTTAAAAAACAGCGAACCACTGTTATTTGGAGCTTTAACACGCACGTGTTTTCCATCAATGGCTCCAAAAGTATTGGGAAAATTCCATCGATTCCAAAAATCACTCGTCACTTGCTTTAGATGATTTTCTGTAGGTACTGGCATGCAAAGTGGGACCAAGTTCTTTCGCAGGCTTGCAAGCACTTTTTTCACTATTCTGCTAATATAACTTGCCGATATACGATACGTGAACTCTAGAGATGCATATGTTTCTCCAGTAGCTATAAATCTGAAACAACATTATGTTCATTACAGGTAATGATTGCAAGAAGAGGTGGAAATATATAAGAGATTCCTATAATAGATGCAAACGTAAGAACAAATTGCCCACGGGTTCTTCAGCCTCTTTAAAAACAACAAAATGGATGCTGTATGAGAGACTTCGTTTTTTAGAAAAAATTCCCACAGAAAGAGCGAGTGTAGCAACAGTTGAAGCTGAAAATACTGATGATGGAGAAAGTGGTGAAGAAACAAGTACAACAGGGATAAGTGAACAAAGAAGACGTAGTGAAGAGATAAGTGGTGAAGAAAGAAGCAATGAAGAGGTAAAAAGAGCAGGAATAAGTGCAGCTGGTACAAGTGGAACAAAACGTAATGCAGAAAGAATAGGGGAGAGAAGTGGAGAAACGAGCAATGAAGAGGCAAGCGGACCAGGTAAAGGTACAGCTGAGACAAGTGGGAGAAAAAAAAAGAAAAAATGTCAACTGGATAATAATTTACATATTACATCTTTACTGCAGCATTGGAAAGAAAGAGATAAACAAAGACAAGAACAAATGAAGATCATGGCAGAAGAGGAAGAGAAAGCTGATGAAGACGGAATCAATTCATTTTGCTCACATATCAGGACTATTTTAAAAAAATTATCACCGAGTTTAAGAGTGGAGGCTAAAACGAAAGTTTTTAATTTAATGGCAGAATACGAATTGAGAAGTATTAATAACAGTTTAAGTCTCAGCAGCGCTTCCTACAGCCCACATTCAAATGAAAGCTATTCAATTTCGAATATTACACATAGTTCAGCATCAAACCAGAGCCCATATTCTCCTATCAGCAGTATTGCGTCTCCACCTGCCCAACCAACTGATTTAAGCATCCCATTACTGAATCAGGTTGCTCTCGATGCAAATAATCATCTTCAAGAATCTACAGAATATGATAACAATTATTTTTTTACCTCAATGTAAGGAAAAGTTTCTGAGCGCTTGTGATGATTGATGAGCCATTTCTTCGTGGTTGAATATCTTGATTGATTAAACTGAGTACAAAATTAAACTGACTATGATTTAGCCTACAATACTTTCTGAACTTTTTTTCTTTATAATTTAAATGTCGTTTTATGAGTGTCTGAAAGCAGCCCTCTTCTTCTCGCGACGTAAACAATGTATCGATTTTCATCCTTTTTTTCGGAATTAGAGCACATAATAAAAGAAGGATATCATCGTCTTCTTCTTCTTCGTCTTCTAATAACTGTCGAATAAATCTTTTTCTGTTCATAGTTAAAACGCGTCGTGATGGAATACAACCGTTTAGTTTAGTAACTGCAAGCATACTGAGTTTCGTATGGGTCGCACGACTCGTGTCGCGTAGATTCGTAAGTAGCTGTCGCCCTGCGACCTGCGACCGGTTGCCGGTCGCGGTCGCGGGTCGCGGTCTCGTGTCGCGGTCGCGTGGATCCGAATGCTACCTTTAGATTTGCAGCTGTGTTTTCAAGTTTATAGCGGATACGGTGGGTAATGGTATCAAAGATTACCGGTTCTGGTCAGACAAATGTGGAGGCCAAAATAGAAACAGAATTGTATTCTTAATGTATATGTTAGCTAGTTCGAAGTTTTTTATAGATATTGGTCATCGTTTTCTAGTAGTGGGCCACACTCAAAATGAAGGCGACAGTATGCACGCTTTAATTGAAAGACAGACGAAAGATAAGATGCTTTATACGCCTGATCAATGGTATACAGCTTTTAGATTTGCCAAATCCGATGAAAAGCCATACAAAGTTACTGAAGTGTCTCAGGATTTAATTAAAGACTTTAAATCAAAGCTAAAACTTATAAACAACTGGACAACTACCAACGATGGATCAAAAATGCCTTGGATTAAAGTAATGGAAGTACTAGTTAAAGCGGAATATCCATTTAGGCTGTTTTATAAAACGAGTTACCAAGATGATGCTTACAAGTGGATAGATTGTGTAAAGAAACCTAAAGCTACACGAAATCGAAGAGAGTTAAATATTGATATAGATAATATTTCTTTAGCTTATCAGACACCCATTCCTATTGACCAAAATAAGCACAGACTTGATGGATCTTTGTAAGGCACTGGTAATTCCTAAGGAGTATCATTTATTTTTTAATAATTTATAATAATAATAATAATAAGCCCGCAGGGCACCTTGAGGCGAGGTGACGGGAATTAGCGATCCCGCGGGCTACCATCATCCCGATTGCTCCAGGGAGGAGTCACCGTTCCTTATCTCCAGCTTGCCTTCATTAGTTGGCCGGAGTGAACGATGACGAGGAATAGGTCTCCCACCTCTGGCTTGCCTTCATTGGCCGTCCAGAGTGGAGTCGCGAGAGTAGTGATCCTGCTCGGAGGGTGGAAGCTGTTCGTAAGCGGCGAGTGGGCCAGTGATGCAGGATGCTTAGGCAGATGCAGATGATCTGAGTAGAAAGCTGGTGGCAGTTTCTTCACCCTTCAGCCACTCACATTTCCGTTGTCCCTCTGTTGCTATTACTAGCAACTATTCCCGGGGGCCCGGTCGGTGAGTTGGCGAGTCTCCGCCTGCCATTTTTACGTGTATTTATTACATTGTTTCGGCAGGTGCCATAGTCCTTCCATAGTTCCCATCCTACTAGCCCATAACAACTAGAGATGCAACGAATAGTTGTTTGGCCAGATACCGGATACCGGATGTTCGGCCTGACCACCAGCCGAATGTTCGGTATCCGGCCGCCGAATATTCGGCCGGCGGCATTTTGAGTTTCGTAGGTGCGTGTCGCGCACCGGCACGCCGCCCGCGCCGTGCAGGTTTTGACTTGTTTCGTAGTGAACGTTCGCGCGGTCACAGTTCTTGGTAGAGACACTTTTATCGTGTCAGTCAGCACGAAACAATTTCGTTTGTACGCTCGCGTATTTTTAGATAATAAAATAAGTTTGTGGTGTTATCGTGTGATACTTAGTGGTTTTGTATTAATTAACATTTACCTACTGTGTCATTAGTGTGTTTATAAAAAATGGCAACAAGATCTCCGCTTTGGAATTATTTTGAGATAGACAAAGAAGAAGCTAAATACGCTATTTGTTTAATCTGCAAACTAAAAGTTTCACGTGGCGGAGAGGGAAAAAAAGCTGGAACCTCGTGCATGAAAAACCACTTGAAAGCCAAGCATCCTGATAAGTTTAGTGAAATTTATGGTGGTTCGTCCTCATGTGTTGTACCTGCTATTTCT